TGATGCAGTGTGATATACTAGACTTGACCATCTTAACCCCTTATACACAGGTGGGGGGTTGATAATATATATGATATACATGTATGTGATATTTGATAATACATTAAATGATGAGCTGCTCCAAACATTAGAGAAGGAAGCAGGAAATAAGGAAACACTTAATTTACTTTCATTTGTACTCAACATATAAATAAGTGTCTATGTAACAACGTTTAATAAACGGTGAAAATGACTGGGCTACTTTAGGTCACTAAGAAATCAAGTGACTTCTGCAGTTAGAAAAGCCAAGAAAGATTTTATAACAAAACTAGACTTTCAAATAAACGATAATCATAGCACTAAACTATGGTGGAGTTTAGTTAAAAATTACATGAACAAAAAATCTGAAGGTACCTCCTTCCCTATTACCCACAATAACGAAGTCTATCAAGAACCAGAATCAAAAGCAAACGTCTTAAATACTTACTTTGTTGACCAAGCAACAATAGCTGACCTTAATATGGATATTCCAAACATGACCTTAAACTATTATAATAGTAATTGTGTGAGTGATTTATTTCTTACAAAGCAGGATGTTGAAGATGTGTTATCATCGTTAAACATTACCAAAGCGACGGGACCAGACGATATTGGAAATTATTCCTTACGTTTCATATCATCTTCTTTGCACAAACATTAACCAAACTTTTAATAAGTCACTTCAGACATCAGTTTTTCCAGATATATGGAAAGAATCATCTGTCATACCAATCCACAAGAAAGGTAATATTAACGACTGTCCTAACTACAGACCAGTTACCCTAACATGTTTATCCAAGGTCTTTGAAAAATGTATATTTATATATGTCTTTAACTTCATGAGTGATAACAATTGTCCCTCAAATTTACAATCTGGATTCATGCCAGGAGATTCAACAGCTTACAAACTTATGCATTTGTATAATTTTATCGCTAAAGCTATAGACAACGGAAAAGAAGTCAGAGCTGTATTCTGCGATATAAGCAAGGCTTTTGATAAGGTTTGGCACAATGGGATTACCCATAAACTAAAAGCCTGTGGGATAGATGGGAAGGTAATGAAATGGGTATTTACAAAATAGAATACAAAGAGTAGTTATTCAAGGTTATAAATCAGAATTAAAACCGACAATAGCCGGAGTGCCCCAAGAATGAGTCCTTGGACCTCTTTTATTTTTAGCATACATAAATGACATAGTTGATGGAATCGAAAGTAATATACGTCTTCTCGCAGACGACACGTCATTTTATGTAATAATCGACTATCCCTATAAGAGTGCATTTACTCTTAACTCAACTTCAGACAGAATATGTAAATGGGCGGAAACATGGCAAGTAAATTTAATCCAAACAAAACTAAAACTATCCAATTTTACCTTCTGGGAAACCTCCCCTCTCGATGAATGGTACCCCTATAAATGAAATGAAGTATCATTAACACTTAGGTATTACTTTTCAAGAAAACCTCATTTGGCATTCCCACATTCATGAAATAATAAGGGAAATTAGCCCCATGATTAACTGCCTTCGTAGTTTTAAATACAAACTGTCACGCAAAACTCTCGAACCAATGTATAAATCATTCATTTTACCTTTATTTGTTTATTGTTGCCATCTCTCGGACTATTGTACAAACGAACAGTCTTTGTCACTTGAACACCTTCACTTAGATTCCTTACGCACAATATGCGGTGCAGTCAGAGGTACGAGACATGCAAAACTATATACTGAGACAAACCAGACCTCCTCAGCGAAAGGAAGAGAAACTTCCAAATTAAAATTATTTTGTAAAATGGTAAACCATATGGTTCCCGACTATCTTTGTGATCTTGTTCCAGGACATGTGTCTGAAAACAGTAATTACAATCTGAGGGACAATGAAAATTATCAGACTATAAGATGCAACTATTTATTCGTTTGTGCCCGACACAATTATATTGCGGAACAACCTACCCACAAACTGCTTCCTCTGTTGGACAATTTAAGAACCTGTTCACACCACAAGCTGAATCAAGTACAATGTTCGATCTTGATTTTGGTAGTCGTTTCTGTCAAATAATATACTGTCGTCTTAGACTGGGATGCAGTGACTTAAACAGTGATAAATATAATCGTTTCATTTCTGATAATGCTTCTTGTTCCTGCCCACATGATTATGAGGATATTTTCCACTACTTCTTCATGTGTCCTAAATATAATGGCATTCAATATCAATCGTATTTTTATGAGAAAGGTTTCTCCCTACGGGATGTGCTAAATGGTAATAACTCAGTATCATATCAGACAAATATGGATATTCTACAGTCAGTGCATCAATTCATTATTTCATCAAAACGATTTGATTCATAAAAATGTGTAGTTTCTATTATTTTCTTATTTGTATCAACTGTCCACACACAGAAAATAAGGTAATTTGGTATTATATAAGATTGTTATCATTCAGAGATAACGTGTTCCACTTGTTATAATTATTATGTACAACATTATGTATATATGTGAACCTATATATGTATTATGGAGCGGCATTAATATAAGCCGTTTAGGCTTGTTTACCCATCCTTTTCGTTCACGAATACGATATGTTTAAACTATAACATCGCGTGATGTCGGACGTATGACGTCACAATGCTACTGCCTCTGTCACAATGGTATTAGACCTTGCTTGACTTGCGGAAAGCTGAGAGTTATCACACTGTAGGCAGATTCTATCATTTTATGTTGGCAGTAGTAAACAGAATACTGAACTCCTCCTGAAATACCATTTTATAAGACTCGTGAAAGATTTAGTAATAAACTCGCTTTCGCTCGTTTGATACCAAGTCATATACTCGTTTAATAAAAATGGTATTACATGGAAGGTCGTTTAGTATCCTCTATCTATGTGGTTTTAGTGGAAGATTGTTCCACTCTTCAGGATGAGCATTGGCAAGTTCCTTTAGAGCTGCCCGAATGAGGTCTGGTGACCTGGCACACTAGTCCATAAGGACAATGGTCAACTGTTCTAGGCATGGTTATAAACCTTGATGAGGTGATGCGCTATCGTCAAGAAGAATAAAGTCCACCAGCATACCGTCTTACGTAGATGACCAGAATGTCATCCATGCAGTGTACATCTTTCATCGTGCCCCGCTGAATGACAAGGAGACCGGTTCTGCCGGCGCTCCTGGTCCCACATCAAATCAAGATTGAGCCGGCGCCACAGCAGTCATGTTTACATTCGTGACCCACTCGTGTTATTCCGGGACAACCTGAATAGCGACTCGTGCCCCTCTGGAAGGATTTCATATTGGCGCACCAACATCAGAACAACTTTAAACAAGAACGATAACTCTATCCCTGTTTGATTCCAATGTTTCTAAAAGTCACCGAAGCACATGTACCTTGTATTGCTAGGTTGTTGTTTTTTGTTTTTTTACTTATTTATTTTAAAGAATTAAACCTCTTTGATACAACTAAAAGGAGAAAAACATATTTGTTAAAGACATATTCTAATGTAATTATTACCAGCTGTTCACCTTATATTTCCAATTATGTTAAATTTCTTAATGGGGTTTAATCATGACAAATGGGAATTGTTTTATTGAATATACAAAAAAAAAATTTAAATCATCTACATTAAATCTCAAAGCATTAACTCAAAAATGACTTTAAAATATTTCTCAAACTGAACATTCATGTAACCTTGCTGTCACACCCTTGGTGGAATTTCAAATGAATTCGCTGATAAAAATATGAATAACCAAAAACAGTTAGATTAAAATATCCCTAGAGCTATGAAATATAAGCCCAATGTTAAAGATTAAGGTTGATTAGTTACATACAAATGCGATATTATTGTTTTGAAACTCGTAGCGATTATAATTACATTTCCTAAAATTGGTCGAAGCGCACGTACAATCTCCATAACAAGCCCGCAAGATCGTCAGAAATACACTCAATTGGATCCATGAGAGCAGTTATGTCAACAAACGCACGTGCGTGTATTTGAATCTCTCACCGTCAATCGCATGATTCTTATTAAAAACTTCACAAAAGGCAGCAAAATCGTTTTAGCTACGTTCTTTGTACTTTCAATATGACGATATATATTTTTCATTATTCTTTAAACAATGACATAATGCCATAAACGATTTAAGTACTCAGGATTGTTTTTATCAAAGCACCGCGCTCATTTACGCGCGTTCTGATTGGTTTGTCGTATTTTCGCACATAACAAGTATCGAGTGGGGGACGAGTCTTCTTGGAGGTTACGGAAAGGGGCGAGTGGTGACGAATGTCATGTTGAGTAACGTAGGAACCCCCATTACATTTACCATTGTCTACGCAACAAACGACAATTTTTGAACGCTGAATTGGCGGTGGAGTAGCGAAGTGGTTAAAGCGTTCGATCGTCACCCGATAACATTCAGCTTATGTTCAAAGTGGCCGTTTACCCACCCCACTTATCTTCTAATTCGTTCTGGAAAAGGAAACCTTTTCACAAATACCTAAAATGGAATTTCCAGATTAATTAGACATCGTATGACCATATAATCACACATGCTCATTTTCAACTTCTTAAAACAATGTGATTACTTCATGGAGATATGAACCGCCTCCGTGGTGTAGTGGTTAGAGCGTCCGCCCGGAGAGCGGAAGGTCGCAGGTTCGATCCCCGACCGCATCATACCAAAAAGACGTTAAAATATGGTACTTGTTGGTCCCTGTCTGGCGCTCGGCATTAATGGGTACAACAAGGACTGGTCGACTCGGAGTCAGTATAATGTGTCTGAATGGGGTATTCATGCTTCACTGCGGCATGGTATCTCAGTGGGCTAGCCCTATAAAACCAGCTTCAGTCTTGGCTAGTACAAGCAGCCGCACATACACATACACATACGCACGCATGCACGTCTTCATATGAGTACGACCCAATTTCACCTCACCTCATTGAGATATGTAAAATATTCCACAACATGCTTAAAGAAAAACACTCTGCAACCAACAGCAAACAGTGTTTATTCATGAAAAATAGGAGAGAACAAACCATCAGTATAATTAGTATTTGCTCGTTATAATAGTGGAACTTTGACTAATATAAAAGTAGATACAGGATAATACCATATATACATTGGTCGGATTTTAGTATGATTGGAGGTAATGACTATGAAGAATACAAACGAACAGTCCTTGACAGAGGTAAAATGTATCAACGAGCAAACAAAGGTAATTTCATTCACTTTGCAAACGGTCACTACTTATAGAAAAATAGAGTTACATTTTCTATATGCTTTCAGTGTGGTCGAAAGACCGAATTTGTCACAATGCTGTCCAAATAATGCTCTGTTGGGGTTTTGTGTTCAGGAGGGTGTTGTGTTGTGAAGGGGATTGAGATTTTTGTTACAGAATTTGTTTTTGCAACTTAATAATGATGGATTACTTAGGCGCCTGGTATCCATCAACAGGTGCTCACTGGCACTATGAACGTCCATCCACATATATACATGTACACACAAATCCTGATAGTTTAGTAGATTCCTAAGCGGAAATTGGATTTTTATCACTTTATTACTTTTTGAAAGGTACAGGGTATAACATGATTATAGACACAATCAAGTGAACAATTGGGACACATATACATATAATATAATATTGTATATAATATATTTCATTTGTACATTTGGCGAACGTCGAATGAAAAACAACAACCATTAGGTAATGTCTTTAAGGTGAAGGGGTTTTTACATGGACACCAAGGATTGAAGAGTAATTTAAATTTATCATATGAAGAGGTTATGGCATGAAGACCAAAAAGACTAAAAATCTTTAATATGCTGCACATTTATCTATCTGATATAAGATATTTAGATGACGCTTTAGTCCGTTTATGGTAGGGATAGATTTTAAACATCTGTTTGCATAGATGACTTGTTTTGTGGACATTAAAATTAGATTTAAGACGTCATTTCTTCTCTGGTTATATCCCAAAAATGCGTTTTACGTTCAGTTCTAATCATGTCACAGTTAGAATGTCTATCCAAGCAATATATGTTTGCACTCATATAACATATGAATAATGGTTTCTGATTCCTTATCACAGAAAGAACACAATGAATGTGATATAATATTATAGTTCAATAGGTCTTTATTTGTTGTCAGAATTCTCTGGATAATTATAAATTGTAGCCTTCGAAGTTGTGTTTTAAGTGTTGCTCTGAAAGGTATGTGGTTATACATTTTTCACTGGTCTTCTGGTATAATTTCATTTATATCTCGTTCCCACTTTATTTGATTACGTAATTTGCCTTCCGAAGTATATAATTTAGATGGTGTAGTATAGAATATTTTACTTCCCTTATTTCCCGTATACAAGATAATTAAATTATATGGAATAAATGGTTGTTCTACTTTGTTTAGTTTTAATTTATTGCGATGGATGAACGATTTAATTGCATTGATAAGTCTTGCTTATTCCAAAAAGATTGTCTTTACGTTGTATTCAGTTGTAAATTAATCTTTAAAAAAGTACCGTTACACTTGAGTAAATCATTGATGAATTTAACATTTAAATAGTGTCTATATATTATAGGTTTCTTAGCAATAGTTTTATTGTCATTTGCCCATATAAATTGTTCTGGTGTATCTGTCATATCGTGTTCTTGTAGCTATTGTAAGTTTGACCATGCTTCATAGACATCACGCCAAAAAGGATTAGGTATTTTGGGAACAATAAAATTGCGCAGATAGTTATTTCCCATCTCGGTTGGAAACAAAGTTTCTGTTGGAATGTTAATATCTACGAGTGGTTTTATTTTTGTACCGATTGCATGTGTTCTTCTTAGAAGAAGAGATCTCAAGAGATCTTTTGAGACTATTGTTTCCAAAATGAGGGGTACAATTAAGTCCTTCATTTCCATATGTCTGTATTGCAGTATTACGTTTACTTTTATCGGCGTTATCCTTCTCACAGACACCTCAAAACATCGTCTTTGTAGATCATCTACTATATTCATTTTGGTTTAGGATGCATGGTGAAAGGATGGTTTAGGGAAAGTAAAATCAAACTCTTAAGGACTGCTATTCTGCCGAATGGTGCCTGGTCCCGTCGGGATCACATAGTCATTGTTTGGTATAAGATCTATAATTTATCTGTATAGTTTCGATGAACCATTTCTGCCTTGTTGTGTTGGAAGGTAATTCCAAGAGACGTAAATGGTTTTGCGATGTGCATTTTAAGGAGAAACATGATTAGGTCTTTGGTAGATTTGGTGTTTCCTAGGTCAGATGGCAAAGGCAAACTCAGAAAGCACAGCCAGGCAGCGGAAATAGGTAGAGGCTGATAAGGTTCCACATGGCATTTACAGCAAACAATTGTTTCGTTGGAAAACCAGAGATAAATTATTCACTTGTAAAAGCATAATTGATTCAAATGATCCGCGCTGTACCTGTTGGCACGGCAACCAATTGTTGAAAGAGTTTAGGGTTGTGTGACAGGTGGTGGTGCATTGTTTTGTGGAGGAGGGGGTACACGTTGGGGTACACGGTGGAGGGGTACCCCGGAGGAGGATAAGCGTTGTATGTTGGGGTTGTGGTACCTGGCCTTGATATCCACCTTGTTGGGAAGACGCGACTAAAACAAATAAAAAATAACCAACAGTTATTCAAAATATATACGTTTTGATGTTTTGGATGTAACACAGAAAGTTCAGATTCATACTGGTTATGAATATTTTAGTGTCCTTCGTGAGTAGTCATTGTTTCATTAAACGGGATCCGATAACTTGTTTAATTTTATTTCCACATTTCCCCAGTTATGAATATTTTAGTGCAGTCTCCATACCTGCGCTAGGTGGTTTTACCCACAATAGTAAGTATCTAATATTATTATTATAATGATCCTGAGACAGTTGCAATCCGAGAAGATCCGGGTTAGAATTGGCCTTCAGTAACCCATGCTTGTCGTAAGAGGCTACTAACGAGATCGGGTGGTCAGGCTCACTGGACTTGGTTGACACATGTGATCGTAATTGTGTAGATGGATGGTCTTGATGCTGATCACTGGATTGTCTGGCTCAGACTGGTTTATTTACAGAGCACTGCCATATAGCTGGAATATTGCTGGGTGCAGCGTTAAACAACAAACCAACAAACTAAGACAGTTGCAGCTCATATAGAATCTCGCCTTCGCGTCTTCTGTGAAGAAACATATCAACAGAAACATTTTAACATAGTAGGTGGGGTAGCCTAGTGGTAAAAGCGTTCGCTCGTCACGCGGAAGATCCTGGTTCGATTCCCCACATGAGTACAATGTGTGAAGCACATTTCTGGTGTTCCCCGTCGTGATATTGCTGGAATATATCTCAAAATGACGTAAAACCATACTCACTTACTCACTCAAGTCAAATGTTCTTCTACCATCTACAACAAAACGATTCTTGTTCTTTGCCTCAAGGGTACAGCTTTCAAAGCCTCAGTAATGTTGCATCCGGGGTTAATATCAGCATATCTCGCAGACCTCATTAAACTCTCCCAGCAAACACGACATCTGCAGTCACAAGATCAACTGTTATCTGTGTCCCTCCAACATAACCAGAACATTTGGAGACAGATGTTTCGACACATCCGGACCTATTCTGTGGAACAGTCTGCCATTGAGCCTGAGGTCACATTGTGAACTGTCAGTGTTCAAAGCAAATCTAAAGACCAACTTCTTCGAAGACCATACGGTGTTCCTCAATAGGGACCCTAAACAAGTTTTTTAGACTGCCAGTTCCTAGCTCAGTATAGCGTTTACGAGTGGTTCAACCAGATCCAAGCGTTCTACAACAATCTTGACAGACAGACAGACAGACCATTTTAATAATAATTTGACACATACATGACTAAAACGTATGTTCGATGCAGTTGGCTTGCGTTACTTCTGCCACATCATCCCTGTATTTTTTTACAGATGATTTGCCTTGCATGTTGTGTAAGGGTTGCTACAATAGTGGTTGGACGCTTTCACCTGTTATAGGTAACCACTACTATAGTGAGTGAGTGAGTGAATTTAGTTTTACGCCGCACTCAGCAATATTCCAGCTATATGGCGGCGGTCTGTAAATAATCGAGTCTGGACCAGACAATCCAGTCATCAACAGCATGAGCATCGATCTGCGCAATTGGGAACCGATGACATAATGTCAACCAAGTCCAGCGAAACTGACCACCCCCGATCCGTTGAGTCGCCTCTTACGACAAGATAGTCGCCTTTTATGGCAAGCACATGGGTTGCTGAAGACCTATTCTACCCAGGATCTTCACGGGTCGGTAACCACTTATAGGAATCGTAACGAACCTTTTCAGAAATGTCTTATTGGCCGGGAAAGGATTTGTCGGTTTTATACTGACGGGGAAAAATTAGGGAATCACATGAAAGGACAAAGTTTCCTTTATTTTTCCAGGTTTCTTCAAAGCTTGTATCGCACAGCTTGTAAAGAAACCTGGAAAAATATGGGAACACTTGGACCCTTATTTTTTCCCCAGTATATTTAAAGAAGTGATACAGGGAATGCTTCCAAACAGGTTGCTGTCGATTTTAAAATTTCTTTATTAATACAAGGATTGTTTCCAAAGCTATTAAATTGGTGACACTATCAAAGTAATGGGTGGGAACGAGTTATAATCGCTCTTTTAAAAATAATTAATTCTAGGATTGTTTTAAAAACGTATCGTAGTATTGGGTGGGAAAAAATGTTTTTTTTAGATTTAATTAAAGAGTTAATACAATGATTGCTTTCAAACCTGTTGTGGACACCATCGCAGTTCCAAGTCTGCTTTGGACGCCAATGACGCGGCCTGATCTATTTCCTGACTTCACACAGGCACATATGAGGAGCGATGACAACGATGATGAAGAAAAGCCACCGACTGACAATCCGACGATGAGTGGAATGTTTCTGCATATACAAATAAAGATTACATCTACATATATTGTAACTGCACGCATATATCAAAGAACAAGTTATACAAAATAGCTCTGTTGGTAATTGGGGTTAGCCAAGGTCCCAAAATAACCAATGGATCTGATAGTCACCAGGCACCTGCAGGTATTTTGTCCCCGCACTGGTACGTAATTTTGCGTGCCAATGAGTAAATTTGGCGTAAACTGTTGTTAAATTGTGCATAACCTGTGCCTGGCTGCGTACCAGCGCGCAAAGAATACTTTAAAATGTTACAAAACCTGGTACGCATAATCTTCACGAAATAGTCGTGAACATTGCACAACCTACTCGCTAACAATGTACGTATCAAAGCGTGTCAGTATCCGCCCCTGCGCGCATTGACTACGCAGTGTCACGCATTGGCCCGTTTTGATCACAAACTGTGGTGCGACATAGTAGCGACAGATTGAGCAAAGTTGACGGCTGAAGTGGGCGGGCGGGCGGAACTTGTGTGATTGTCAGCTGACTTTGTTCCCGTGGTCATGGCAGGACGAGTTCCTGCATAGTTTGTGCATGGCACGAAATTGATATGCATTGGGCTAGTGAATCAGCGACGACTGCGCAGTCGGCAGTTCGTACATAAAAGCATGCCCCATCGCCAGTCCCCACATTCCACAACCTCGACAGCGAACCGTAATCAACCAAGATGCCTGCCAAGAAGAGAAGAAGACAACCAGAGGAAGAGCAGGACCAGCAGTGGATAGAAGACTGGAAGGAGAGACCGTACAAGAAACAGAGACAGAGGCAGATCTTTTAGAGAAGATTCCAAACGCATTCTCCACTACACTGACGATCACAAGACAACCAGTAGCTGTAGATAATAT